TTCCCCCCGCATCCAATAAAGGATGGAGATTTTCCTTGGCTCTCTTCTTGTCATTAATATCTTTGTAAAAGCTTTTTTTGTTGTCTTTAACGACAGCGGCCAGATTGCGTTCTAGCTGGGCTTTTGCCTTTCTCATTTCCTCTCTGCACGACCTAACGAGATCCCTGTACTCTTCTTGAGTCGCCTGCCCCTTCTTCCACAAGCGGTAAACTCTCCTTTTTTTCCTGAGTCCCAGCAAGAGCTCCCCATTCAGCCAGGCGGGTGGTCTTTCCCGCCCGTTCTTCTTACGGCGTACAGGGACAGCCTGCTCCTGCGCCTTTAAGACTTCCTTCTTGAAGATCGTCCAGCCTTCATCACTTCATCACTTTCATCACTTTGCCCTGAATTATGCTTCTCTCTCTGCTCCAGCATCCGTGCCCACATGCAATTTGAGCACCATGTGGAGTCTGAGCCTGAACCCAACCTGCTGGCAGGGCCTTACCTCAGATTTCTGGCTGTGTTATAGCCTCTCCTACCCTTGGACCCACATGGCAGAAGTTGGTGAGCCCCAACGCATCATCCAGCAAGCAGCTATATTTACCACATTGCTTTCTATACAGCCCCATGTTCATGTTCATGCTCTGTATCAGAGCCCTTCTCCCATCATATGATCCCTGTCCTATGCCTCACCCATCACACCTCCCAGCACAGCACTGCTAAAGAAGAGAGAGACTGGCAGGTCACCAGTTGCCAAGCAACATTTGGGAACTAATGTGTATCCTGCAAGCTGCTCAGTCCATTTGCGATGAAGTTTTCCAGATAAATGTTGTTAGTACAGCTGTACCTGCATGTCTGTCCTACCACCAGTGCTTTTTTTAACAGTACATTAATACTTCTACCGGAGAAGCTTCCACTAGTTTCTTGAATGAAATAAGCTCAACTGACACAAACAAAAAAGAAAAAAAAGAAAAAAGACTGTCCATGCAAAGGTGTCTGAACTTGGACTTTGATAAAAGTATATGTGCACATATGTGCATGTATAAGATCACTCCCCTGCCATTACTATAAATATTTTTGAGGTGAGGACGCAGATGAGAACTTTAAAGCTTGCATCTCAGCAAAGTCCTCAAAAAAAACCAGATAGTTGTTTACCTAAAGGGGATGATTTAAGATCATTTCAAGTGGCTTCAAAACACTTGGAGACTGCTGCTATATTTCTCTCCTGGTTCACACATAGCATTTATATCTGGAATATTTGTGTCCTTGTTATGTAGCAAAGAACAGATACACCGCAGTGCAAATACAACAGTCCTCTAGCAATACCACAGATTTTTCTCAAGCACTCACCATGTTAAAATTAAAGAAAATTTATAACAGTATTTCTGAAGCACTGATCAGTTTATGACATGTAACTGTAGGCATACAAAGATACTTGTTCAGACCTTTACAACCACTAATAAAACAAGTAAGCTTGAAATTATGTTTTATGGTTCTGTCTCATTGTTTTTGTACAATACTCAAAAGCAATATACAATTATTAGCATCAAAATACCACAGCGTTCATAAGTAATTTCGTAAGAATGTCATGTTCTGCATCCAAGCTGACTTGGACTGCCTCATCCAATACACGCAATTTACGTACCTAACCACAAAAGGATTAATAGTGTGGTCATTTTGGACAAGAATGCTTTATTAATATGTCCCTCCTGCTAATACACGTAGTTATCTTCTGCCCCCAGTGCTTCTTAGGGTAAGGAAAAGTTTTGCTACCAGAAGGAATCAATGTGAGTAAAACTTGATTTTTAGGAGCCTCTCAAAGACTGAGAGTTAGGGAGGCTGACGTTTTCAACAATAAGGACTGAAAAGTGACTTAACAATCAGAAGCAAGAAGTATTTTTCCCCACTTTGAAAGTGGAAACACCAAAAGAACATGACTTGCGATAAAAATGACTACATTGGCAGCACAACAGTAGAAATACCGAAACTGCCCCAGGCCTGCAGCCTATCTGCATCTATCTGCAGTGATTCTCCTCCCATCAAAAGCAGTGTGTAGCCTGAAGTCACACAGCTGAAACTATACACCTTTGATAGCTGGTATTTGTCCAGGCTTTTGGAACGGAAATACAGCCAAAGTTGTTACAGTTTAAATGTGTATTTGCCTGAAACACAATAAAAATAAATTGTGTTTTGAAACACAAATAAAAAACAGAACAACTTGGAAACTTTGATGATGCAGAAGGAAAGCAACTTTCATTATCTGTCAGTGGTTCAAGCACTATTTTGTTACTATTCATATACCACCACCCACACAAAAAGCACCCATACAGGTTCATGCTAAAGGTTCACCTCAAATCAACACCTTTTTTCGGATAGTAGCCCATGAAGTGTTCTTACACTCTTTCCCTAACCGAAGGCCAAATACAGAGTGATACTTTCAATTATATGTACTGCCTCAGCTCCCAGCAGTCCAGTCTTTGAGACTTTGACAGCTGGAGGTTGCTTCTGTATGGTCTTCCTCTAACATGAATGTGTCTAAATGTTCCCTGAACCCATTTGTATTTTTAGCATCCTAGGCTTCTACGGCAGCGACTTCCACAATTCAGTTTACGCCTCTCAGAGACATGAAAGAATCCTACTAGATTTTTGAGGCATTACTGCCGCAGATACCTGTGCTGACCAAGGGTATTGTATCAATACGCCTACACATTATCAGACTTACTGGTCCACAGTTTTCCAACGACGCTTTGAACTCTTAAAAGAACTCAGATGTAAGCGCTAACTTCCATTTCTGCAGTATTACGCTAGTTGGTGTGTAAAAAGGTGCTTAAATCAGTATTTCATCAACTTCGTATTTGAGTTTTGGGATTCTCGGATAAGTTCCATTTCTCCTTCACAGTCTGTCATTACTCATTTACTCTTTCCTGCTCCAAAAATCTTGTTCTTAGCATGACTTGTTCTACTTCTACGTCAGATCCCTTCCTTTCAAGGAAAGGTTACAGTGTGGGAACCTTCTTAACAATGAACCTTGCAGTTCAGTTAGCTTTTTCACCATGAACTTACCTTCCTTGTTCATATTTTTTAGTAGCCATTTTTACATTTTTATTCTCAAAATCTTTTTTTCATCTGGGGTTATTAGGGTTTAAAAAACAATTTAGAGGTTACTATCCTTTCTATCCTGTGTCTTTCAACATGATTACAGCTTTCTGAAGGGGTTTTTCTTATCAAATACTTAAGACTTTGTATTAACTTTTTTAATAACAGAAACCTTTTTTTTAGTTTAAAGAAACATCTCCAGTAGAAGATCAGTTCCTTCCTAACAATATTGGTTTACTTATTATTATTCACCACCTCCTTTATATTGTTGTATTGTGTTACTATGGAAGCTAACTAGAGGTAAGCAAAATCAGTTCAGCAACTATGTTTAGATACTGCTTTGGAAAAAGAGTTGCTTTGTTTACAATATGTTAATATTACCTTAGTTTCAAAGATCTTTACCTATATTGTGTGCATGGTTGTTTTAAACAGCTTGAAAAATCAAAACACTCTCCATGACAAAAAAGTAAGCCCTACTCAAGCCCAGTTGAATCTCTTCTTAACAGAATAGCAATAGACTCATAATTCAGCTCTTCCTGATGAAAGATCAGACTTTGCAGCACAGAACAGGTAACTGTGGGAAAAGCTGAAGGGGCACAAACAAATGATTCTCAGACAGAAGTCTGAATGGGCAGGAGGAGGAGAAATCCGTCTTTAACTACAAGTATCAAATAACTGAAGCTATGAGTGCAATTCCTGAAAGGCCTAAGAGAAAACCATTTAAAGTATTATTTTCATAACCACTGTACAGTAGGCCAGCAACATTCAGAAAACAGGAAATGATAAGGCAACCTAGAAAAAAGAAAAATCAGTATTTTGATTTCTGTGCTTTTAAGATTGTTCTTTTGATTGTTCTGAAAATGACAGTATTCTGAAAAGAAAGCAGGATAAAGGATAGTTATGATCATATCACTTTGGTTTTCTCAGTCTTTGCTATTTATAACTGACATCACTTCTTACTGTTTTTAATTTACATGTTAATATATATTTCATGTTCATAAGGGACAGTTTAACAAAGATGACACAAATTTATAGGAAATTTAAATACACAGTCTCACTTGTCACATCAACAAAACCAGCAGAGTGTGTGTAGAAATCGGAAAAAAAAAAAAATATACATACACCCACAAGTCTCCAGGCTTCACTTATCACTGCATACTGGAGCCGATTCAGAACAAACCCCTCAATTTCTCTGTTTAGTTTGACAGGAGACTGACCAATCTTCTTCATCAGGGCATATGTTCTCTCTGTAGTAGAAGGATCTGTTTCTGGATGAGGAACAATTTCAACCAATGGCACAAAGTAAGGCGGATTTACCTCAAGAAGAAACACAAAAGAAGAATGTCAATTATCAACAAATTAACAGAACAAGGTAATATAAAGCATCCTTATAGCTTGCTACTAGCGTGGATATTTTCCAGTGAACACAGTAAGCCTGATCTTCAGACCCTGAAAGACTTGACCAATTCAATAAAAGCTGGTGTATTCACTCAAATTAAAAAAATAATTAATCTTACATTAAATCTAACTCTGTTTAACCCCAGCAAAGTTCATGAAGCTACACTAAAGATGACAGCACTCAAACAGTACTAGAAGACTTTATACTGACTTGAGCAACCGATGTTTTCTCAATATTCAGGCTGTTTGTTGTTGTAAGACATATGGCCACCACCTGTCTTTCCAAATGAAGCAAGGCACTTCCTTTTAGATATTCAGGAACTTTATAACAAAATTATTGCTAAACACCACCTGTAAGATGCAACACTTAATAGATAAGCTGCTACTGGCCCAAGCCTGTAAATACATGCTAAACACAGTAATAGATATCACATAAAACATACTTTGAAAAAGTTGCAGAACAGGTTACCTTCAAACACTGTACCTACTTAAAAAAAAATACCTCCCGCTGACTCTTCCCAAATGTAATTTCTCATCAAGTCAAGACCTTTGTGTAACGTATTTTTCAAGTAAAATACTTCTAAAGTATAAAAAATAAATAATATTTATAAAAATAAAAAATTCTAAAGAACATTCAGATAAAAGTTCTTCAGGTCATAGCGTTACATGCAGTAACACTGCCTGCATGTTCTTTCCAAAAGCAGCAGTCCTTCAGCCATATTCTTAAGGTGTTAAACTCAGCTCTCTGTCTAGTTTCCAGGCAACAGAAGGAGCTAACGTACCATAAATTACTACCAGAAATAACACTGACATTTAAAGGATGGTAATTAAGTAGCGATTCCATCACTGTCCTCCCTTATAGTCAACTGCTCTTAACTGTGCTCATGTAAATGGAAGTACAGGATTTAGTCACAGCAACATGCAAGCAGTCTTTCCTCTCTGCGTGTTCTTTCTTTTCAGTACTTACATGGTTCCTTTTACTATAGAGTCTGACCAACACATAACCTGTTGTAGGATGCGTCTGTTCTAACTACTGACGTAACACACTTACTTCATCCCCTTTAAAGGGCCTTGTGTTCCAACATAACCTTTCTCACATCAGTCTCTTTGGTAGTGCCACCACCAATGCTGAGAACGGCGTGATGGACACGATCGCAGGTGCGGTGCCAGGCAATTTAGCAAGACCCAAACCACTGCAAGCACCAAGAAGTTCTCTGAAGGCTTTTCTAACCCTTAAGTATATCACAGGTTCCAATCAGGACAAGTTAATTGTTGAGAGAGACTGAGGCTATTATAAATTTCTTCCACGATTAGTGTTGATAGTCATCTTATTGAAATATTCTATTTCATGAACTTGGCACGGAGAGTATACGGGTGTGTTCATGAGCACACTGAGGAGACTTAGGAAGACAATTTTTTAGGAGTGAGATAATAGATGTTGGTAAAAACTAAAAGTGCTAAAATGTGGATGAAATTAGGGGTGGGGGAAGATTTCTAAAAATGAGAAGGGGAATGCAAAGCCTTTCTTCAGGGAGCAGAAGAGCTTACATTACTCAACCTAACAAAATGAAAGCTAAGAAAGGATATGACAAAGTAAACACAGAGAAAGAATTAAGCTACACAAAAGCTGCCAACAAACATCAAATTAATTTTAATGGACTGTAATAAGATTGGAACAAAAATTAGAAGACAACTTCCAACAGGAATAGTGAAGTTAAAAAAAAAATCTAACGCAGAGCTTAATACATTTTTAAAGTGATTTGATTACATGGTTTCCTGTACAGCAAGGGACTTCACTCAATGGCACACGGTCTCCTCTAGCTCTGTATTTCTAGCTGTGTGATCTAGCAGGTATATACAGTACATGAGAAATCAACTTCTCTGCAGAAGACCTCTACCGATACACTGCCTGAAACTGCTTGCAGAGAACAGCTGTACCTGGAAGTATTGCGTGCATTTCTATCATACAGCTGCGCTACGGGGTTTCATTTATTTTTTCTAATTACCAAACCTATTGCTATGTTAAGCAAAGGAATGAGCTCCTTCTGCCCTTTGGGCATTTCATTTCATTTCTCCTCAACACGTTCACCTGTGCCAGAGGCTTTACAACTTTAGCTTTTAATTTTTCTGGTATATCAAATTCCACACTTCCTGTTTTCACAATCTTCCAGAGCTGCTTGCCTCCTGCAACCACCATTCCCCATGTCCTACTGTTGCGTTCAAGATGTCAGTAAGGCCATGGTTAAAACAAAAACCACCAAAAGCCAACAACTACTACAAAGCAAGCATGTTTCCTGATATAACAGATGCAGAAAGGCCCCTGGAAGAGTACACTGGGCTCACAGTTTCTCCAGTACACTCCCCTTTGAGTGAAGTTGAGATCACTAAGAAAATAGTCTCAGCTGGATTGCAAAGCCATTTCAGAACTATTAGATATTTTAAGGTACTCCAGAGAATTTGCTTTGGAAAATACATATATCCTTACAACAGCAACCTAGAAAATGTTTACGCAGGGACTAGCTACCTTTCCAGGTCTGATAAAACCTGGTTTCAGAAGTGGCTCCTATAAGGACTGCAGCTGAGACTAAACAAGTCAACTGGTACAGACCAACTTGGGAAAACAGTAAAAGAGAATAATGTAAAATCAAAGACTGACAAACAGTCAGAGAATAGGTAGAAGCCCAGGAATTGGTTAAAAAACAAAACAAAAAAACCCCATAGCTATTGTTACTTAATACAGAAGTCTAGAAGAGACATTATCTCTTCTCTTGCACTACAGAAAGTTACAACCCTGGAAATAGGAGATAAGGAACTACTGAATTTTAGACTGGCGAAAGGCTAAACCTAGGCACAGATACATACTTTGGAGTTTTTTTTTTTTTTTTTTTTTTTTTTTTTTTTTTTTTTTACTTAAAAGGGGATGAAAACTAGTTATACAGAAAGAAACAAATCCTTTTGTTCCTTTTGCTTCCCAGTCACCCCAAGGCACAACGGTGGTGGTGGAGGGGTGTCAGAAAGGGACTGACCAAATGCTTTGACACTGTAGCATTAGGCTACAGGTAGCTGTAGAGACATTACAGTAAAGTAGTGCTGTATTTTTGTGTTCACACTGCCACACTGCAGGGAACTGACATTTACTTTACACCCTGAGGGATGCCCTGGAGAGACAACATGTAGTTACCAAATTGCAGACAGCAGAGCAGTACCTTTCTCCAGATACTGCAAACCTTCGTAACAGCAGTCCTCTTTAACTGATCTGTCAAACACCAGACTAACGTTAGGCTAACAAAATCATTAGCTATTGTGTAGTGGAAAACAGAAGCAGTAAGAATCCCAGTGATCAAGACAAAATGCTCTTCCATGCTGAGGAGAGATGTGATAAACTGCTGTCTGGCAGACCCACATAGACCTCTACAGAGGCTCACAGGTGCCCTTCAGCATTTTGAGGTTCTGCTGCCACCTCTAGTCATGCCATTTCTGCATCACTGCCCTGTCCCAGTTGGTCACAAAGTATGCAAATTCAGCTCCAAGTACAATTTGTTCCATTTCATCCACCTGCTTTTCCTCTTCAGGTACACTGCTTCTGCATCAGAAGTCTGAAGAAACCAGAGTCAAAAGCTTCCATCTTTCATTGACATTACCTGACAAGCACATGCAGCTCATTGTTTGGATCCTTACTGTTACCTAACAGCAGCTGAAAAAGGATACTAGAAAAAACTAACGATGCCACAAGAAGAAAGTAGGGAGTTTTATAGGTTTGTCTTCAAAACACAGAATTCCCACATTTTGAGAGCCAGTAGTTTGAGTAACACACAACAATATGAGCACAACAGCTTACACAGAACGTATCGAGCCAACAGTATTAAACATGCATACAGCCTCCCAATTTAGTAGATGGCTGCTGCTCACAGAATGACCAAACTAAAGCTTTTCTGGTGAGTCAGGGCCCCTGCACACTAATGATGGCACACAAGCACTCAAAATATCCTTCTGTATCTCAGCCTGCAAGGAAGAGTTTGGGATGCAGTTTAGTTAAACACCTGTAGTACTACTACTACTACTACAAAAACATAACACATACTTACAGGATGTGACACAATACACTGCTTAACATGTTTAAGGCCAGTGAACAATTTGCTGGGTAAGAGACAAGAGGTCGAGCTGCTCAAGATAACTTTGTCACCAACAATAAGATCTAACTGACCGAAAATCTTCTCTTTCAGTTCCAGGTTCTCCGGAGTACATTCCTGGAATAAAAACAAAAATCAGTATCAGAAATCTTCTAGTTCAATAGTATTTATCCATATATTTCAGACTTCACTGATCCCACCTTGACACCTAGGAACTCAGCACAAACCATCTATTTTAATCAGCCTAAATATACCAGTGAGCCATAACACAAAATACCTTCCCACATATAAAGAAATGGAAAGCCCAAGAGTTTCTCTACAGCAGAAGATGGAACACCACACACCACAGGAGATTTAACACAAAACAAATTATTCTGCTTTATCTAAAATACAGACTTTTACTCACGCACAGAGATAACACAGTATAGAGAAATAAGACCTGGTCTCTCTCTCTCTCTTTTTTTTTTTTTTTTTTTTAAGAGAATCTCATACGATAGAAGTCAGTGTTCTCTCTCAGACAAGATGGAAATGAATAGGTGTATGTCAAAAGAAGACAAACTTACAACCTCCAGAACTATGGCAGGAGATACCAAGCTACAGTTCTGGAACCTGCACTGAAACACCTCTCAGTGACCCTCACACTTAAAAAGCTTAAATATCTCCATTCATTTCAACTCTGAGAAAGATCTCTGAAGTAGAATGCATGCTATCAGAACTTCTACCAAAGCTATTGAGCATGTTCAGCTCTGCAGTATCGTGTGAAATTTCACATGTATGAGCCAAGAGCCACAATCTACAGTCACTAGAATTTCAAAGTTAACCCCAGGAGCTGCCTGAAGGGGAGCATGCAGAAGTCCACCAGTCTGGGAGCAACAAGGACATGGGAGAATAACTACAGTGGATCCCACAATCAACAGGGAAGACTTCAGTCTACGAGAAGAAAACAGGAACAAAGCCAGCTTATTTTCTGGGTTTCTTTGGAAGGGTTTAAAAAAATCCAAACAGGATCCCAAACTTGCAAAACCTCAGCTTTCCCCTTAAAACACTCAGAAAATACTGCTCTTTTCCAACTCTAACCTTCTCCCACCTGTCAGTACTTCATTCTGTCCTTCCTGTTATGCTGAACTGCACATGAGGGTAGGGAAAAAGGCTATATATTTAATATAATCCAAAATTTACATTTAATACCTGCAGCTTCAGACAGACTCTGTGGCAGGAATGCCGAGGGCCAGAGTTTTTAAACCCAGTAAATGGGTTAAAAGTAATTTGAAGTCTTAAAAAATAAGCAAGTTGCATGGAACAGTACTAAAAGTTCCACAAAGCAGAAGAGATAAACGGGGTCATTTAAGAACTCCAGATAGAGCCCAAAATAATAGACGGCCTTATCAAAGCAAAATGATACTCTGCTTATGATTCCACGATCCCTGCTTGTTGGTTAAGTTTAAATAGTTTCTTTTAGTAAAGCCAGAGATGAAGAGAACTCTGCAGATACTGTTCAAGCTAATAAAAGAGTTGCTCTGAATAGGTTTATTGTGAACTTGGAACTCTAAGCCTCCTCTCACATCAGATGATAATCAAAAAGGCAAACTCAAACCTGCTGGAAACTCAAACCTGCCATGGTTACGTAAGGTTTCTGAATGGGCCATTTGCTTGAAGTTTCTTGTATAGTATCACAATTGTATTCAGATTATTGGACCACTGCAATAAAGTTTCTGTCCTCATCAAGCGTGCAATTATTTTCTCAGAGACACCAATTCCCTGAAGAACAGGGGGAAAATTAAGCTGTAAACAATCCATTAAACAGGAATCTCACTTGCTGTCAGTTATGGAGCCTGGAGAGGTCTGATGCTATTCTGTTTACCCTGAGAAAGAGAAGATCAAACAGTGAGCAGATAACATACGGTTTTAAAGCTACCACAGTCTCTCTCAAAGAATCAGTGCAAAAAGGTCTGCATACACCTCTACGCGTTTTAAGTGACATTGTATATTTCTGTGCCCTTTTTGTAGAGAAGGTAACACTTCTTGTTTGCAGTGAACAGTACGCCTTTATTCCAAGGCTTGAGCACCTGAACAAGGTTGGTACTAATCTGACTTCCAATTTAAACTTTATTAGACATCTTTTTTAACAGCCTGATCAGAACTTGACAGTTAACTTTTAAAACCCACCTCCTGGAAGAGTTGTATTGAATTAAAGGCTTAAAGGTAATAGGCATTACACTACTCAAATACATGTTCAGAGAACACACAGCAGCTACTTGACCAGCCTGTGAACTCTTAGAGAACTACACAAAGATAAACACATACTAGACTCTCTCCCCAGCAGACAACACTGATATCCAGACAAGGTGATTGAGGTCTAGTTGCCCCTAATTAAAAGTTGCACTCATATGCAACCCCATCCCTTGAAACATTCCAGGTCAGGTTGGACGGGGCTCTGAGCAACCTGATCTAGTTGAAGGTGTCCCTGCTTATTGCAGGGGGTGTTGGACTAGATGACCTTTAAAGGTCCCTTCCAACCCAAACCATTCTATGATTCTATGACACAACCCCCTGAATGCCAGTACATGGAAAGCTAGGGAGTTTTATCTGGTTAAATCCAGCGTCTTTGTGTTTTTGTACACGCCCTTCCTACCATGCTCTCCGCCATCTGTGCTCCCATACACGTCCATGCTCATCTAAGCGCGCAACTTCATTTACCTATATTTAAATGCTGGCATCTACCCAGGTTCTTTCTATCCATTCTCAGATATGCCAAGATAGCAACTCACCTGTACTACCTTCTAGGAAAACAGTCCCCAAAACACTGTATCTTGCAGAATATCTTCTCCTTACACTAGCAACGGGAATAGCTGCCAAGGCGGTGGATTTATTAGCGTTGGGAGATGAAAGAAACAAAGCATGGCCTGAAGTAAAGCACTGCAACACAGTGGTATGGTCCTAAAATAAGTGGTATTGTCCTATACAAAGCAAGCAGCATAAGATGAAAGTCAAAGATTTAAACTGGCATGGAAAAGGTCAAAGATTAGCAACTATTCAGCAACAAGCAAGCCACTTTCTGTGACAGCATCTCCAGATGCTGTCACAGGGAGCAGCATCAAGCCCTCTCAATAGCAAGTATGGAGTCTGATCATAGTCACCAAGCATAAGGAACTGCTGAATAAAGAAGTTTGAAAGCCACAGCTGCACAATGATGAGTTCTCACCTCCTGACTAGATTCTGGCTGCTGCATATTCAAAACATAACCAAGAAAACATTTCTTCCCTGGCATTAATATGAAGATTTATGATAATGTAAATTCCTGCAAGTGAAGATGGATCAATCTTGAACTCTCCTACAGCACTCTTCATTCCAGGACTGTATCCCATGCCATGGGACTCTTCCAAGCAGATTTTGGCCTGAACAGGCCAAAGTTGTCTGCCCTGAAGTCCAGGGCTGTGATCCCACCTTTTGTCTTGCTTCTCCTCCCAGGATCCTCAACTCCACCATCTCATGGTCACTGTAGCCAAGGCTTCCCCCTGACCTTCACATCTCCAACCAGTTCTTCCTTGTTTCTAAGTATGAGGTCCAGCACAGCATGTCCCCTCTTCTGCTCCTCAACCACCTGTGTCAGGAAGTTACCGTGAATACATTCCAGAATCCTCCTGAATTGTTTGTGCTCTCCTGTGCTGTCCCTCCAGCAGATATTGATGTGGTTGAAGCCCTAGCCATGAAGACAAGGGCCTGCAAACATGAGGCTTCTTCCAGTTGTCTGAAGAAAGCCTTTTCTTCCTGATCAGGTGGTCTGTAGCAGACATCTACCACAATGTCTTCCACATTGGTGGTCCTGTTAATCCTGACCCATAAACTCTCAACTGGCTCCTCATTCAAACCAAGGCGGAGCTCTGTGTGTGCTAGCTCACAGCATGTAATAAATATCCTAGGCAGCTATTCCTCTCCTACCTTCATCTTGCACCACCTAACCCTCCCAGAAGCTGTACTTCACTGCCACGCTGCAGCTGCTACAGCAAGAGTGCCCTGTAGCCTTGCCCTAACCACAACTGAGGTATAAAGTTACTTTCACAGAATCATAGAATAGTTTGGGTTGGAAGGGATCTCTAAAGGTCATCTAGTCCAAACCCCCTGCTGTGGGCAGGGACATCTTCAACTAGAGCAGGTCGCTCAGAGCCCCGTCCAACCTGACCTGGAATGTTGCCAGGGACGGGGCATCCACCACCTCTCTGGGCAACCTGTGCCAGTGTTTCACCACCCTCAGCATAAAAAATTTCTTCCTTCTATCTAGTCTAAATCTACCCCCCTTTAGTTTAAAGCCATTCCCCCTTGTCCGGTCGCAACAGGCCCTGCCAAAAAGTTTGCCACCATCTTTTTTACAAGCCCCCTTTAAGTACTGAGAGGCTGCAAGAAGGTCTCCCCGAAGCCTTCTCTTCTCTAGGCTGAACAACCCCAACTCTCTCAGCCTTTCTTCATAGCAGAGGTCTTCCATCCCCCTGATCATTTTGGTGGCCCTCCTCTGGACCCGCTCCAACAGGTCCGTGTCTTTCTTATGCTGAGGGCTCCAGAGCTGGACGCAGTACTCCAGGTGGGGTCTCACCAGAGCAGAGGAGAGGGGCAGAATCCCCTCCCTCGACCTGCTGGCCACGCTTCTTTGGATGCAGCCCAGGATACGATTGGCCTTCTGGGCTGCAAGTGCACATTGCTGGCTCATGTGCAGCTTTTCATCCACCAGTACCCCCAAGTCCTTCTCGGCAGGGCTGCTCTCAATCCCTTCATCCCCCAGCCTGTATTGATACTGGGGGTTGCCCTGACTGGGGTGCAGGACCTTGCCCTTGGCCTTGTTAAACCTCACGAGGTTCACACGGGCCCACTTCTCAAGCTTGTCCAGGTCCCTCTGGATGGCATCCCATCCCTCTGGCATCCCTTTTCAAGAGTTCTGTGACTCCCCTCTTCCCAAGTAAATTCAAGAGGGCTTCAAGTAGCAGGTAAACTGTTTAGAAGCCTTAACCACTTTGACTGCTACAAGGATGCTCTTCATCTTCTGCAGTTGTGAGGACCTCCAAACGTGCCAAACCCTGGCTCTGTTCCTCTATTCATACACATGTAATTTACAGCATTTTAAGTGG